CCTTTTTACCCCTTCTAAAGAGGAGAGAAGAATGTTGACCACTCTCTCCAACACAACTAATCTCCCCGAACTTAAATCCCTTCTGTTGAGTATCCTCCACAAATTGTCAAAGAAGTGGGAAGATAAAAGATCTTCCTGTGCAGTTGATCAAGAGACGAAAGAGTATTTTGATCGAAATAATTTTCTCTCTACCAGAACCCTCGAGGAGTTGAAACTCATGTTGCTACTTCTGAGCTTCGACGAATTGCGCCCGAGGCAGGGCAACGTGGCCAAAGAGAGAAGACTTCATATTCAAATTAAAGTGGTGACCGAATTTTGGAAAGAGTTAAAAATCCGCACAAGTGAAAATATTGGCGATCTACCAAAACCCCTTCTTATATACCTCAGAGATTGGCGAATCAAGGCGAAAAAGGTCGAAATCGAGGCAGAAAATCTCCTAAAAAGTATTAAAGGTGAATGGGATCGCCTTCAGAAATATTGCTCTAGTAATTGAGACCGAAAAGTACTTATAATAAAACTGTCTTCCTCCTTACTTGTAATATGTTCTAACTGTATTTTAATGCTGAGTCGTGATGCTCTAGAAGTGAGTATGGCCATTCTGTAGGTCACAATTACAAAAGTCCATGATTTGGGACTGGTTGAGTGGTCATAATGTATCGATTACTTTATTGCTTGCCACGCCACTAATTCAGCCACCTTTATCTAACTGTGAATGTACTTGTGGGACACTTTGTCAATGACCAATAGAAATCCTTCTACAGAACACTACTCAGAGATATTTAGCTATTAATGTTCCCGCGAATTGGGCTAGATTTATCTGATAACTAATCGCTTTGACAAAAATTACATTTCGCTATCAATATACATACTGAATAAATGTGCTCCGTGCTACACGTCTGTTTCCTTTATAGCTGGGCTGCGTACTCCGTGCTACACGTCTGTTTCCTTTATAGCTGGGCGCCCCGTGCTACACGTCTGTTTCCTTTATAGCTGGGCTATAGCAACACGTCTGTTTCCTTTATAGCTGGGCTATAGCTTAGCTGAATTATACGTCTGTTTTCTTTATAGCTGGGCTATAGCTTAGCTAGTTCGGGAGTCTAGCTAGATGTAGGAGAATCTGCCAGAGATTTCTCGGGAGTCTAGCTAGATGTTGGAGAATCTGCCATAGAGACTTGATTTCTTTATAGCTGGGCTATAGCTTAGCTGGTTCTGGGAGATCCTTTCATAGCTGGGCTATAGCTTAGCTGGTTCTGGGAGTCTTTCATAGCTGGGCTATAGCTTAGCTGGTTCTGGGAGTCTGTTAGATGTTGGAGAATCTGCCATAGAGATTTCTGAGTCAGAGGCTTTACGAAGGTAGCAATCCGCTACATGTTCGAGACTAGCGTAGCAATCCGCTACATACTTGTCATTATTATTTCAGGGGCTTAGTAATTGAGCAATTGTTAACTTGAAGTACCCAACAAACTGCTTTGACCTTAACAATAGTAGTGAAATGCAAATACTCCCATCCTCATGTACTCATATGCAATAAACTTTGACGTTTAACAATTTTGTACATGCACAGTGATACAATATTAGGCCTTTAAATTTAATTTCACAAAAATGCATGAAATCAGATTGAAACAAACAAGTTTTAACAGTGATGGGCAAAATGTTAGCAGCCTTGGAACGCAAAATATTGAATAAAATAGAACCTCTCATCAACAGCAAGCAAAATGTTTGGAATTCTGACCGAGAAAATAATGGTTTTGGCAAGTTAGGCATGCTCATCTCAGTCAAATAAATTTTCATCTAGGAAAAAGGATTTTCAAGTTATTTCCAACGCGAACTTAAATGTCCTTTTTATTTTTGATCTCGATGTACGATTCGACCACCAAAACAGAATTAACCGTGACCCCAAAATGAAACACTGGGACATGGCCATCGACTTGAATAGTAATGCAACCATTAACGGAGCAGAAACACCAAAGCGGAAGGGTAAAATGGAGTCGAAAAAGCTTGCAATTAATGTGCTTTTGAGTAGGTTTAATACTCACTCATCAGCGGTATGCGATAGACTTGCCTCCATGTGGTGCACCCCGGTCAACGTATTCTCATACGGGAAAAGGTCTATTAACTGGCAGTTGACTTCTGACTTCAAACTGCCATGACCCCACTGTATGTCATATTCCACCACTTCTACAGTACTCCCTACACCTTATCTTTTCCCTGCCTTCGAGTATGCCTGTCTCTTTTACATATTTGAATCACTCCTCTGTACCTCCTCTCCACTTTTCCTCCCTTTGATGTTCCTTCTCTCTGTGAAGCCCGAAGTCAGGTAAAGGACTAATGAGAAGTGTCATAAAGTCCGCCATTAGAGATAAATACTCACTTATCATCTATTCTCGCAATTTTACCCAAAGTCGTGCATTTTCATCATATAAACGAGGGCAAGCATTGCTCCTATCTACATCTCTTTTTCACTCAATACTCTCTCCCCACTAACATGATTTCAACATGTCTTCACATATAATGCCTTATGATTGCAAAAACATGAAATGGTTGAACCTAATCTCTCTCTCTCTATCCTGATTTAACAATAGTTTGGTATTATATGGGGGCTGGAAATGACATAACGATAGAACTGGATTGCCTACCAGTAATCCAACAGTGAATAGCATACTTTACATAGTGATCGACTGAGAAGCTACGCAAAACGCTCACCGACTTATGAATGACTGAAGCAAGATAGTAAGAGTAAGCGGTAAGGGAAGATAAAGAAGTTGAAAAATAATTAGGGTGAAAAGGGGGGAGGGCGAGAGAGAGGGTAAGAATTAGCTTGTGAGAAACAAGCGAACTAAAGTGCACTCAAAGAAGCAGTCTGTTTGCTTTCGTCAGGAAGTGCAGTGCGTCAGGTCAAGTAACCAGTGAGCCAGGGCTGGAAAGTACATATCACAGGGGGGGGGGGCTAGAGGGTAATCATAGATGGGAGGGCCAAGGGGGCGGGGTCGTGATATCATCAACGCATTTCCCCATAGCTATCTCACCTTAATACTTCACCAAGTGGGGGCAATTAATGAGGAAATTCGGTCAATTACATTAGGCATTGGTGCGCAATTCCACACATTGGAATGAAGAAAAAATTTTGATATAAGTCTTATACGAAGTAATTCAGAAGCAAAATTTCCTGGTAAAGAACAATCTATCATAGGGTTATGAATCAAAAATAGCTCTATTGCC